TTCTATCTGAAAAGGGATTTACTATTGGGGAAAGGGAGGGAAGAAGAGACTGAACATAAACTGCACCTATGGATGAGGACAATAGAGGATGGGGAGGGGTGGGAGGGTGGGGTGGGAACCTGGTGGAGGGGGGAAGAAATGAGGAACCTTTGTAATAATATGAACAATAAAGATTGATTTTAAAAAAAATAAAAAATAAAATAAAAAAATAAATAAAAATGGGCAATGGACCTGGATAGACACTTCTCCAAGGAGGACATACAGATGACCAATAGACATAAGCACTAATCATCAGAAAAATGCAAATTAAAACTACAATGAGCTATCATCTCACACCTGTCAGAATGGTTATCATCTTTAAATCAACAAGTGTTGGCAAAAATGTGGGAAAAAAGGGTATTCTAGTGTACCCTAGAATACCTTTCTGCTGTGAATACAGATTGGTGCAGCCACTGTTGAAAGCAGTATGGAGATACCTCAAAAAATTGAAAATGGGACTGCCTTATGACCCGGTGATTCCACCTCTGACAATATCTTAAGAAACCCAAAACACTAATTCAAAAGAATGTATGCCCCTAGCCAAGATTTGGAAGCAGCCCAAGTGTTCATCAGTAAATGAGTGGATAAAAAAGTTGTGATACATTTATTTATATAATGGGATACTACTCAGCCATAAAAACTAAGGAAATCTTAGCCTTTGTGACAGCATGGATGGATCTGGAAAGCACTATTCTAAGTGAAATAAGCCAGTCAGAGAAAGACAGGTACCGTATGATTTTACTCATATGTGAAATCTAATGAACAAAATGAACTAACAAAATAGAAACAGACTCGTAGATAGAGAACAGACTGTGCTGTCAGAGGGAGAGGGGTTTCAGGGTTGTGTGGAAAAGGTGAAAGGATTAAGCAAAAAATTAAAATTAAAATAAAAACTCAGACATAGACAACAGTATGGTGATTATCAGAGGGAAAGGGAAGTAGAAGAGAGAATAGTGGGATAAATGATGATGGAAGGAGACGTGACTTGGGGTGGTGAACACTCAATACAATATACAAGTGATGTATTATAGAATTAGACACCTGAAACCTATATAATATTATTAACTAATGTCACCTGAATTTAATAAAATAAAATAAACCCAAGTAGTCATAATCACTTTCACACAAAATAATAGAAATAACTTAAAGTAAATGTCTATAGTAAGATTGAAATGTTATATCTGCAGTTAACTATAGTTTTATAATTGGGTTATTTTCATAGCTTAATATCCATCCATCTCTCAGATTAGTTGACTGAAAAAGATTAAAATTATTCAAGATACTCTGTAAACTTTCTATGCTATTTTTTCCCTGTAAATTAACTTTAATGTTATAATTTAGCTTTAAAAGTTATATAACGCGAACTAAGATAATAGTCTATAAACTGGTGTTCCTGAATTGTCAGAATCAAAGAAGTTGGAAAAGCTTTAGAAATTATCTTTATTCATAAAATTATTTAATTTATTGTTTTTTGGTTTTTATACTCATTGAAATTTGTGTATCTTTGAGTGTAGTTTGTCTGATTTAGAAATCTATCCCAATATGCTAAAACCTGTTTTAAAAATAGCTGTAAGCCACTTGGTGTCATAAAAGTCTTGTTGACACAGTGCAAAAATAATCAAATGAGTTTGCAGAGCAAACTTTACCATTACTAAAGAAAGGCGTTTTTCTTCTTTAAAACAAAATTGACTGAATTTTTACTTCTTTGTTTTTTAAATAAAGGATGCTTTTTATTTTATTTTAATGATATTTTCACAGAGAGGAAGAGAGAGGGATAGAGAGTTAGAAACATCAATGAGAGAGAAACATCGATCAGCTGCCTCTTGCACACCCCCTACTGGGGATGTGCACGCAACCAAAGTACATGCCTGTGACCGGAATTGAACCCCGGATCCTTTGGTCTGAAGGCCGACGCTCTATCCACTGAGCCAAACTGGTTTCGGCTGAATTTTTATTTCTATAAATCCAAATAAACATAATTGAAACATTTCAAACATTTTATATACCCAGTGTACTATTATAGTTGATTTTTTAAAAATTATCCTAAGTGTAGCTTGTTGTAAACCATAGTATATAAATTATCTTTCAGGTCATTTATTAAACAAAGCAGGCAACATTTTACACACTTCCATTGAAGCTTTTAAAAAAATTGTTAGTATTTATATGTGACAATTTAAGTATTCCTCAAATATATTAAATACTTTATACATTTAATATATTGGATTAATAAAAATGTCCTTTCACATTTTGCATATGAGATGCATATTATTTACACTTTTGAGGTATTAGGAAAGAGGATCTTTATTTTGGTATGTAATCTGGAAATAATCATAAAAGTTGGGTAAAGGGAAAGCAGGAGTAAAGTAATAAGTTGATATTCTCATACTTTTTGAACCATTTTTTGTAGTTTGCTTTGGTGACGTGGTGGCCAGGAGTGGAAAGAGAGGGAGAGTTATAACCAGTTTGGAAAACATACAATATTGTCTTAAAGACAGGGGTGGGCAGAAGTAGGCTTACAATTGGGAATACACGAAATACAGACTTTATTCGTGTACTGTTGCTTATTAATTTGAATTTTCTATATGAGCAGCTGTAAACCTACTTTTACCCACCTATATAGTGGAGGTGTAATATTGTACTAGTGGAGAAAACCTGAGACTTGGTTGGAAAGTTTGTAAGGACGTTCTGATAAAATGGTGTGTGTGGAAGGCCCCCTGCCCCACTTTTCAGAATTCCGATTTAGGGGAAATTTAGGGGCGTGTCGAAAGCAGCGGCCCTAATTATTCCTTGACCTTTCCAAACAAGTCTGTGCAGGTGCAGACTCTGAGGTGTTTACTGGAATTCTTATGCTTAATCCCTGGATGCCCTTGCCTAGAGGACAATGTACTCATGTGTCCTCCCAAGATCACTCACCCTACTGATTGTATCTAAAGATAAAAATGCAGTAAAAGGCTAACGAGCCAGGCAATCTGGGCGGCCTGGCTTCTTTGGCCAGACTGTCCTTTGTTTTCTCCCCCACAGTGAAACAGTTGGAGTAACCTGTTCATCTGTCATTCAGGGGCTGCTGGTCAACCCTGGCAGTTCTGCAGCTATGTTTCTTTTAGAACATCTCAGAATATTTGTTCTTGTCAAGGGATGGGTAGGTGCAGTTATTCCTACTGTACTAGTGAAAGAAACTGAGTTCAAGAGATTGACTCCTTCAATCCTATATAATAAAAGGCTAAATATGCAAATAGACCAAACAACGGAAAGATTGGTTGCAGTGATGCACACTGACAACCAGGGGGCAGACGCTCAATGTAGGAGTTGTCCCCCCATGGGCTGAGCGCTGCTCAGCTAGAAGCTGGGCTCACGGCTGGTGAGTGCAGCTGGTGAGTGCAGCGGCAGCGGCAGTGGCAGGAGCCTCTCCCTCCACGGCAGCGCTAAGGACATCCAACTGCTGGTTTAGTTGGACATCCCCTGAGGGATCCCGGACTGTGGGAGGGTGCAGGCCAGGCTGAGGAACCCTTCCCCCGAGTGCACAAATTTTTAGTATTACATATTAGGTAGAGGAAGACAATATCTGAATCTGGGTCTTTTGACTCTGCTCCTTCCAGAACAAATGCCAGAGCATTTGTCAGGAATTTCAAAACATAGTTTGCTTAAATTGGATCAATTAAAGATGGAATCAGGTCCGGCTGGTGTGACTCAGTGTGCTGAGCGTCGATCCATGCACCACTTCTATTCCAGCGCAGGGCACATGCTGGGGTTGCGGGCTTAATCCTCAGGAGGGGACATGCAGGAGGCAGCCAATGGATGAGATGTTCCTATCTCTCCTTCCTCGTTTCTCTGAAATCAGTAAAAACACTTTTTTTTTTAAAGGATGAAATCAGTATCTTAGGAAAGGTAATAAAATAATCTGATCTATAGCACTGTAAAAAAATATATAGGCATTAAGTGTAAATTCTGCCTTAAATTTTAGAGGTTGATCTGAATCGTTTAGGACGCCTAGCAATGATAAATAAACTTCTAGTATTTTGTTGTCTGGGCACATTGTGTAGTGCTAGCATCTGGCTCCAGTTGCAGATCTGCATGTGCTAAGAGCAGCTCAGCTGGGTGCTTTACTTCAGGATTTTCTTGAGATCTGGTAGTCTTGAATGATCCTGGTAATGAGTTCAGGGGCAAGTATCTGTGTTTGAACCTTTTAGGCTTGTTCTTATCACCATACCAGAGGTGCCCTGTCCAGCCTGGGATTAATTATCTCTAGGAATTAATTCTTCTCTGAAAAGTGTTTTAGACAAAAAAGATGCTTATGAAATGGTCTGTGGTAAATTTCTAAATATTAGTAACCTGTGATATCGTGGAAGGCCTTCATATTAATTATTCCTATGTAACTAGCTCTAATACTGACTTAGTACTTAATATAAATGTTAGGTTTATTTTAGTTCAATTTTGTTTACAAGGTATAAGGGAAAATTAAAAATGATTATAAATTTTGATATCGTTATCAACCCATCCTTTAGCAACAGTAATTTACATTAGTTTCTAGATAGAAGCTATACCAAAAATCATCTGCTGAGTCCACTCACATATGAATTCCTATCATATGTGAATTTATAAATGAAAAATTTCCAGTATAACCTTGGAAATTCTGAAATTTATTTAAAAAGTGTGTTTTTTTAATTTAAAAAACACAATTGAACTATTTTGTAATAAAATTCAAGTGTTATAATCACATAGAAAGATCCTTCTTTTATTATGGCAACTGATTTTGTTTACTTAAGAGAACCTGTTGCTAAAATAGTAATGAGGAAGGGAAGGGTGTAATGTAAGTGTAGTCATACACACTTTGCTGTACAAGTAACCAGAGTACTAGATGTGCATGTTGCTCAGTTTCCTTTGGAAGGTGGAAGTAAAGTCATTTGTATGTTTTTCTCTCTTGAACAGCTTAAAATGACGAACGTGTGATTTCAGTGGAATAAATGGCGTCCAAAGTCACTGATGCTATAGTCTGGTATCAAAAAAAAGTAAGTTGGTAATGAAAGCTTTTAACCTTTTAAGTGCTTTTATTTTGAAAATGCTTCTGAGTTTTGTGTGTGTGTGTGTGTGTGTGTGTGTGTGTGTGTGTGTGTGAGAGAGAGAGAGAGAGAGAGAGAGAGAGAGAGAGAGAGAGCATGAGAGCTATGGGTATATGTCAAATATTACCTAAAATGATGACAAATAGATTTCAGGACCTTTCGAATGAAAAGGGGAATAATATTTTACTTCTGTGCCAATTTTACTTCTAAATAAATGAGAAGGATGATGCCTAAAAATATTTTTTCTCCATTTTTAATCCACAATTTCAAAGTAGCTAGATTAATTATTTTCAGTTATAATGTCCATGATTATGAATATAATTAGAATTTTATAAAAGCATTAAACTTTTTTTGTGTTTCTTTTAAAAGAAAGCTAGGTTAGCAGAGCTGTTGTAAAATTTTATAACTTTTGTATCAAGAGGAACTGCAGTTTTGATCCTTTTCTTATATGTTCACAATTCGACAGCTGAAACTTTTCAGTAAAATAAACTCTCAGTATTTTCCAAACTGAAACATTAAAATGTTTATTTTGATATTTTAGGATTATTGTTATAACTACTTAACTAGCTGTGTCATCCTACACATTTCAAAATACACTTTACCAATGTAATGTATTCTTTATAAAGTTCAAAAGAATAAATGCCTTTCTTGAAAATAGTACTGTTTACCCCTAAGAGTATTGTTTATACTCCCTAAAATGCATATTGTTCCATGTAGTATCTTAGGTTTTTAGTTTTCATGGTGAATTGTGTTTATTTTCACATTTTAAAACATTTTTTATTCTTATTCTTCAGGTCTCTATTAACAAAATATTTAAAGCTTTTCCTATGTGTGGGAAGATCAGACAAAAATTTAATTGAATTGGAAATAAGTGGTAATTAGAACACGTTAGCGATTAGTCAAACCTAAGGATACTGTGTACTTTTTGGATGGCCAAGGCAGGTGTGAGTGGGGTCCCAATCGCCCCAGCGGTCACCCCACCGGATTTTATAGTGTGAATAACGTGCAGTGTTACTGGCTACCTAACAGAGAATACTTCATTTCTCAATTTATTTGACTTTATTAATTTTTTTCTTGAGTATCCATGGAACATACTTAGGAAAATGCTGGCCAAGTTATATAAACAAATGTGTTGCAGGGGAAAAGGCTTAGAGTTATAAGACATAATTTCGATTTCTGCCCCAAAATACTAGATGTAGAACTTTCTGACACCTCTTAAGGCCTCAGTTGTCTCATTAATACAAGAAGTTAATACTGGTCTGTATAGCATAAGATTGCAGATTCTTTACAAAGTACTTGACAAAGATTAGTATTTTAGCACAGTCTTATTAACCAGGTAAATAGTCCATTATACATTTAACAAATTCTCTGCATATTTTATTTCTTCCTCTGCATAGCTTTCCCTGGTCCTGTACTGAGGATTAAAGATGTAACCTCTGTAGGCATACCTGTACTCATTCTTAGTAGCCATTTGGATTCTTGCAATTATAGCAAACCTTTTCTTGACCAGTGAAGACAATGGTCTAGGTCCCTTAGATTCTAATTCTGGGGAATCTGGACTAAACGCCCAGCAGCAACTTATCTTAATTATTTTTCCATTTTAATTTTTCCCTGTGTAAATAAGTGGAAATCAAACAATGTATTTGATTTGGAATAATTTAAGTATGTTTTATAGTCTTAGTTTTTATTTCAAATGATTGAATGAACAGCAGTAATCTGTTAGGTATTTTCTAAAATACAAATACAGTTAAATAACCAAGATATGTTAATACTTTTGGCATTTAAATTACTTTAAAAATACAACTTTTATGCTATTTATAGTAAAGGCTTAGAAATATGTAAACAAGGAAGGTGCTATAGTCTTGAGTCATATTACGTACACATGGTTTAATCAGGATTATGTTTTAGAATAACAAACCAGAGTATATCCTGTGATAAATGCTAAAAGAATGCAAATAAAGCATATATATTACTTCCTTATGCAGCAATATAAAGGAAAAGGAAGCATGAGGTAATAAATTGAAATGACCTTTATTGAGCTCTTATGTGTCTGTCACATCTTGTTAGCTCACTAATACATTTAATCCTTATAGCTACCCTAAGATTACTGATAATATTAACTGGCTTACATATTTTTAAGGCTAAGTTGAACTTCATGATGAGTTTTGTATGTTCTTATTTGCTTTTTTAACAGGGCCTGATAGCTTCCCTTCTGGCAAGGTAGCCATAGTCAGTAGAGTAGAAGTATCTGGAAATGATCAGCAGTTAAGTGTTACCCTTCTCTTAGTGATCAGAACCAAGGTTTTTGTGTAAGGGTGGTTTTTGTGTAATGGTGGTTTTTATGAAAGGATGTGAGTGAAATTACTGTTAGCTAAGGGCTCAACTGTGGAGTCAATTTATCTGGATTTGAATTCCTATATTCTACCACTTACTCTTTAACTATACAACTTTGGGGATGTGATCGCAACCAAGGTATATGCCTCTGACTGGAATCAAACCCGGGACCTTTCAGTCCGCAGGCCGACGCTCTATCACTGAGCCAAACCAGTTTCGGCACACATCTTTGTATGGTCATATGTGTTTTCATTTCTTTTGGGTAGATAACTAGGAGTGGAATTACCAGGTCATAACTGCCAAACTGTTTTCCAAAGTGGCTGCTTCACTTTACATTCCCATAGCAGAGTATGAGGATTTTAGTTTCTCCATATCCTTGCCAACACCTGTCATTGCCTGTCTTTTTTTATTATAGCCATTCTAGGGTGTGTGAAGTGGTATCTCTTTGTGGTTTAATTTGCATAACTATTTCTTTTAGTTGTTTTTTACTTTGAGTATTACAATTTTAGTTTGAATTTACTATAGTTTTGAAATCCTATAAGATATAAATCGGCATAAGACATAAATAGATCTTCTTTGCCATGCAAAGTATTGATTTCCCAGGAGATTCTGACTCAGTCCTGTGGGGTCTGAGAAAGTCTTTGAATTGTTGTAGTTTAACAGTTAGGTCTTTTTCGGTAAAATCAAAAGGAAAAGAGATTACTTACATGTCACAAAAACAATAATCAATCCTAGAAGTTTGGCGTATTACTGATCATTTCCTGCTTTAGCTTACACTGTAGGATTTGTTTCTTTTCTAATATATTTTATTGGTTTCAGAGAGAGGAAAGGAGAAGGAAAGAGAGAGAAACATCAATGACGAAAGAGAATCATCCATTGGCTGCCTCCTACACACCTACTGGGGATTGGGCCTGCAATGTGACCTCCTGGTTCATGAGTCACTCAACCTCTGAGACACATTGGCCAGGGACATTTTTTTTTAAATCTTGTTCTTACCTATTATAATTAAATATTATTCCAATTTCCTGAAAGTGTGATAATAATTGATGAAGTAATTGATCATGTAACTCCCCTTTCCCCTTCTGGTATAGCTAAGAAAATAATTATTAAATAATAGATGCCAATAAGCAAGGCATATCTGAGAGCTTTTTTATTATTTCATCATCTTCAATTGGGCCATAAAAGGGCCAGTAAAGTAAATATTTTCCTCTTAGCAAGGTCTTCACAATTTATGAAACAAGGTTAGGGTAAGTAGAAAAGATGACTTCTTGGAAAAGGCTCTTAATCGACAGTACCTTTATTAATAAATCTACTGAGAACATACAGCCATGTACCAGCAAGTTGGAAAATAAACAAACTTCGTAAATTATGCAGAGTAGTATTGGTTTGCCTTTACAGCAATGTTCTCATTAAGGTTTGGCCTTAGGAAAAAACACCAATGTATTCTGCTTCTAGTTTTCACTACACATAAATTGTGCCAATAGCACACAGCCAAGACCTGGTAAAGAAAGACAAACCAGGGATATTTTGGGCTCTCAGCAGCAGAATTTCTAGAAACTTCTCTATAGGAGTCTTGTTAATGTTAATTTTAATCCCTGCTATTAGCTATCTGTTTCTCTGATTTATCTAACATTTAGAATCGAGAGAGAATCTGATTGTCTCTCTTGAGTCAGCTATCTAGCTTTGGATCAGTGTGAGAGGAAGGAACATGTGCACAATAAAATATAATATCCTGTTTCCCCGAAAATAAGACAGTGTCTTATATTAATTTTTTTCTCCCAAAGTTGCGCTAGGTCTTATTTTCGGAGGATGTCTTATTTTCAGGGAAACACGTAGAGATAAGGTCCTTGGTAGTCCCCTCAGAATAAAAAAGGGCCTTTTTGCTTAGTAGTTTAATTCTTTTACGTAAGTATAAATGAGAGGTGTTGAATCAACTAGATACTTGCTTTTCAATCTTAAAGATTAAAGATAGGGCCTTGGGCATTTTGGGGGGTTATTGTGAGATCCCTGAAATCACACTATATCTAATAAGTCTTACTAGCTCTGAGAATCTTTTTAATCTCTCTTGTTTTAAAGAAAGAAATAGAGAGAGAAACATTGACATGAGAGAGAAACATCAATCAGTTGCCTCCTGACATGCATTGAGGATCAAACCCTGAACCTGAATATGTGTCCTGACCAGGAATCAAACCTACCATCTTTCAGCATTTGGCACAATGCTCAAACCAACTGAGCCACACTGGCCAGGTTTCTTTTTAATCTCTTCATTAAAGGGGAACAGAAGAGAGGAATCAAGTGAGCCAATCGTGGCTGCTGCTTTCTCTTAGATGGTTGCTGGTGATGGCCTTCTCTCATTGGCTTCTTCCAGAATTTGGAGTTCTCTCAGTTCTATCAGGAAGCTGTTTGCCAGGCTCTTTTCCTCTCATTCCCTCCCTTTCCTGTGTTAACCGACTGATTTTTTTCCATCACCACCTAATGCAATTTAAGTTACCCATCTGCTGCAAGAATCCCATACAGCATGCTGTTCTTTTCTTGAGCATTTGGTATTTACCATTTTGGTTCGTTAACTCATTTTCCCCCTTGATATTCTAGACTGTAGGTAGCTATCTGCTCTTTTATAATGCTAGTTTCTCACACTTTTGTTATTAAGATACAACTTCTTGGCTGAGAATTTCTATGATATAACTCATAGAAAAAGCCTTATTTATTTTCATACTGGGACTTAATTAAATTGATTTTGAGCAGTGGCAGTTGGTTTCCTAACAACTTGCCCCCTTTACGAGAAAATGTATTCAAAAACTCCTAGCTCAGCGCCTAACACTTGATGCTACTCAGGTAATATTAGCTTCCATTTTATTTGATTTTTGTAAATGATGTTTTATTTTTATTTTATTTATTTATTTTCCCCCCCAATCTATTGTACATGTTGTAAATGGAAACCACACTAAACAGGAACTAACATTGACACATTGACAACAGCTATAGCACATGCGGTGTCAGGTGACTGTATGAATTGACTATTATCAAAAATGCAATGACTAACACATTTGTTGAAAATGGATAAACAAACCATGACATTCCCACACTATGGACCTATAAAATCAACACAGTAAGTACAAACAAGACAAGCACACAGGATATATATACACTATACACAAAAAATCACACAGCAAGATCTCATCCAATGGAAAAAACAAAAAAAACAAAAAAAAACACTGGCAGGCGAATGCAGGGTGTGTGAAGTGGAAGATGATTCCAAGGATCCAGGATGCCGGTCTCCCATGATACCTTTCTATCTTCTCTTCTTCAGAGGCACCGACAAGCATGTTGCCGTACCAAAAAGAAAAACTTGAAACATCATGTGACTTAACATTAATTACATTTCAAACCAAGCCATTTGATCAAAAAAGGGACGGGCTGTCCTCAGTTAGGCAGTTCAAACGCCAGACCACACAGGCACAATCACCGAGACTCTGTGTGGTCCAAAAAGAACATGCACACCTGCCACAAACACGGCACTTTGGAGGAAGCATCACGGTGACACATGGCTGTGGCACAACACACACATTCAAAACTTAGTCCGACGCTGGGGAGGCCGCTACAAAGTGACCGCTGAGGCGGGACTTCTCCTTCCGGACAAAAGGCACCATCCACGGTGAGGACGTAGATGACGGAAACAGCAAAAAGACACCTTTTGCTCATCCTATGAGCAGCAGCAGCACTGAACGGAGCGGAGGCCGCATACAAAGCCAGAGGTCAAGTGGATACCCCGGGACGGTGCCTAAGCATCGGAGACCGCAGATGCGGGGCCTAAACCTTCCTCGTCCTGATGCTACCGCTGCTCCTCCGTCCACGGAAATCTCTCCGTCTTCACGCTGCTACGCACACTCCTTTTCCATGGACAACCTGCAGCTTCATTCTTTTCCGGCTTCACAAAGTCACTACACGGGCCTTGCACAGAATGAGCCATGTCCCACGCTCACTTGTCCGGGAAGATGGATGGCCATCCTTTATTGGGAGCAAGTGGCACTTCTACAAAGAAGTCTGATGTTTGTTTGTTTTTTAAATCATAATGTAAAAGTAATACATATCTATCATAGGAAAAGTAAATGTAGCATAATAAAATAAAATCACATTGTTACCCTATTGTTAACATTGTGAATTTTTCCACCCCAAATTAGGATCATACTGTATTTCGTTTGTTTGTGTAACATACCAAAAGTTCTTTCTCACATCACTATCCATCCCTTTAACACATAAATTTTTTAATGACTAAAATGTTCTATTGAACAGGAATACCATTATTTATTAAACCTTTCTGCTTACATATATCATTCATGTATTAAGTGGCAGGGCATGTGTGTATGTGTGGATTTAAGTCTTTCTTATCCTGGGCTTTTGAGAGACGTGGTGATAAAAGAAAAAATATAAATATAACTCAGCTGACTGCTTCTAATACCAAATCAGATGTGTTTGTTCTTCCTGGTGTCCCTAACCTAACTATCTAGTTAGCACTGTATACTGAGTCCCTGAGTCATTGTTTTTACCTTCCCTATTGCCCCCTATTCCCCAACTGCCATATCTCAGCTAATGGCTTTGCCTACTATTTAAGTGAGATCAAGAGTATTTGACACAATCATGTTTAACTACCTGACCACCTCAAAATGTTTCAATATTTTTAGCTTTTCTTACTTGACCTTCTATCTTGAAATGTTTTCTTGTTTAACTATTACTATAGTATATTATTCCAGTTTTTTTCCTACCCCTCTGACTAATTTTTCTAAGACTTCTTACCTGACTTTAATACTTCTTTCCAGTTAAATATTTATTTTTCTTAATAGTTTATGCCACCGAGTTCCAAAATTTTGTACCTTCTCAACTTTCTAGAACTCTAGCCATAATTTCTAACTGTTGTGTAGTTCCAACAGCCTTTTCTAAACCTGTTTTTATTCTCTGTTGTAGTTAATGATATTAATGCAGTCCCAGATACTTAAGCCAAAAATTGTCTTTTTTTTTTTTTAATATATTTTATTGATTTTTTACAGAGAGGAAGGGAGAGAGATGGAGAGCTAGAAACATCGATGAGAGAGAAACATCGACCAGCTGCCTCTTGCACACCCCCTACAGGGGATGTGCCCTCAACCAATGTACGTGCCCTTGACCGGAATCGAACCCGGGACCTTTCAGTCCGCGGACTGACGCTCTACCACTGAGCCAAACCGGTTTTGGCCAAAAATTGTCATTTTTCTTTTTCCCATGCTCCTATATCTAGTAAGATACTGTTATTTTGAAGACCATCTCTCACTAATATTTAGTATAACTAGAGCCCAGTGCATGAATTCATGCATGGGTGGAATCCAGCCGGCCTGCCTCAGTGGGGGCCGATCAGGGCTAGGCTGGCCCTGCCCCCGATCAGGGTTGGGGGCCTGATTGGGATCCTGATTGGGCCAGTTGGCCACCACAGTGCATTTCATAGTGACAGGTTGTACTGGTTGTTCTGGCATTTTGGTCGCTTGGCTTTTATATATATATATGTATAGATAGTGCTTATTGTATTCTGCTTTGAATTATAACTAACTCTCTTTGGATTTGATACTTTTTAAAGGCAGATCCTATCATAACCATCTCTCTATTGAATTAAAGAATACTCAAGGCTTTTTTCTAATCTTGAGTCAGTGTTTTATTATATCATTAACTGGCTTTCCTTGGGCAATAGGAACTTGGTCATGATTCATGATTTGATTATATGTATGTGGCCTTATAATACACTATTCTGAGGGTTAATACAGGAAAGGGTGTGGTTTTAGTTGATGCATAACCTGGGTTTGTCATATATGGTCTTTATTATGTGGAGGTATGCTCCTACTTTGCTGACAGTTTTCATCATAGATTGGTGCTGGATTTTGTCAAATGCTTTTTCTATATCTATTGATATGATCATATGATTTTTATCCCTTATTCTGTTAATGTGGTGTATCAAGTTAATTGATTTGCACCAACCTGGCATCCCAGAAATCATTCCCACTTGGTCATGATGTATTATATTTTTAATGTATTGCTGGATTTGGTTTGCTAATATTTTGTTGAGGATTTTTGCATCTATGCCTATAATTTTCTTATTTTATAGTGATTTTATCTGGTTTTGAAATGCTGGCCTTGTACAATGAGCTTGGGAGACTTCCCTACTCTTGGATTGTTTAGACAGTTTGAGCAGGATAAGTGTTAGTTCATCTTTGAACGTTTGATAAAATCCACCTGTGAAGCTATCTGATCCTATCTGACTTTGTTTATTGTGTTTTTATTACTGCTTTAATTTCATTAATTGTAATATGTCTGTTTAGATTTTCTGATTCCTTTTTTTAAATATATTTCATTGATTTTATACAGAGAGGAAGGGAGAGAGAGAGTTAGAAACATCAATGAGAGAGAGTCATCGATCAGCTGCCTCTTGCACAACCCCTACTGGGGATATGCCCACAACCAAGGTACATGCCCTTGACTGGAATCGAACTTGGGACCCTTCAGTCCCCAAGCCGACGCTCTATCCATTGAGCCAAACCGGTCCCGGCAATTTTCTGATTCTTCTTGATTCAGTTTTGGAAGATTGTTTCTAGGAAGAGAGTATGCATTTCTAACAAGTTCCTAGGTAATGCTAAAACTGCTGGTTCAGAAACCATACTAGAGAGCCATGGTAGAACAGTATTGTCACAGAAGTCTGAGACAGAACTGAAGCTGAGCTGTGCCGAATGAATGCTGAGTTCTTGTAATGCAAGCAGAGTTCTACCCATAGGATGGGCACCCACAGTGGTCATTTAATGTAGTGTTGTCTTTTATTTATTTTCATAGATCGGAGCATATGATCAACAAATATGGGAAAAATCTGTTGAACAAAGAGAAATCAAGGTAATATGTTTATTTTGTGTATTCTGAAACAAAGTTCTATAAATTGATTATTAATCACATTTTATATAATGCTTTCCATATACTTTCAAGGTATAAATTAATATTATTCTATCCAAACTTTTAAATGAAGAAGGTAAACCCTTTTATGATAGCATAGTTCTGTCTTTACCTCTGATTTTCTTTTCTTTTTAGCATATTTCTATTCTTTTAAAATTTAATTTTACTGATTATCTTTTTGTCAGCTTTTTTCCCCTTTCACTTGTCACCTTATACTTCTAGTTTGCTTTTCTTCCCTTTTGATGCTGTCATTGCTCAATACAGTTTATTAAACTGGTAAGTGTTTCAGGACTTTTTCCCGCCTGAATGATCCTGTGCAAATGCTACTCTTTTTAATTGAGATCTGCTTTTTTTGTGCTACTAACAGAATGACTTGGACGCAAACAGAGCTGCTGAAAATCTGGTCATTTTAAAAAAGAATTTAGGAAAATAAAGCATTAATTAAAATGTTTTTGTAGTAGGTAGTTCCTTCTTGAACATGTAATCACTTATGCTGATAAGAGATTCTCAAAGGCCCCCTTGCTAGCATGAAAACTATTGTTTAACTAAATTTATTGTTTCTCAGCAATCACTCCTTTTTTGGGATAAGATTTATATTTTTCATTTGCATAGGTAATACTAATCAGTGTGGTCCTGCACGAGCTAAAATTAATCTGGGCCCAGAGAATGTAACTTGAGTTGCTTGACATTTTCTATTTTGTACATAAAGGCTTACATGAGATTGAAAACCAGTGTCTCTAGTTAACTAAAAATCTATCCAAAAAATCTGTGTTTAGACAACTTAGACATCTGTAATAAAGCACAAGATACTTTACCTTTTGTTAATTTTAATTTTTAAAGTATTTTCATGAGGAGTTAATAGTTAACAAAAATTCAGTAAGTACCCTACCATGTATTAAATACAGGATTAAATCAAAGGAACAAAATAATGAAATAGATTCTAATTTTGTAGACAAGTTACATAATTACAGATGAAATTAATCCAGGTAAGAGAAAGATGTGTAGGTCTCTTGTGAGGAGCTCAGGGGGAAGCAGCTCTGTAGAGATGAGGAAATATTTCACACAGGAGGTGACTCATGAGCTAAGTTTGAGAGACCTTAGGGAAAATGAGGAAATCATTCCAGATAAAATGAAGAGCATATGAAAATATACGGTACATAAAGTAATGAAGGAACATGATTCTTGAAGGAGCTTGATTGGTAATAGGTTGAGTGGAAGAGGGAGATTAGGGTAGTTAAAAGCAAAACTAGAAATTAAAATGGTAGTCACATTGCATTGCCTTACAACTGTCTAGAAAAAATCTGGGAAACATTGAAGGATTTTAAGTAGAAAAGTTTCCTCGATTAAATTTATATTTTAACAACTTTGCTAAGTGTGGTGGCAAATACTAGAAGAGAAGCAGATAAAGAATTCTGTTTTAGAAATATCCAGATGATATATTGGTGAAAGATTTGGGAATCCTCTCTATGTAAAGTAAGTGTGTGTATGTCTGTGTGTGTACACATATATATATAAATTATATATTCTACACATTATATGAATAAAGCTATAGGAGTGACTGGATTTACATTGAATGATGAAAGAAGAAAACAAAGAATGAAATATTGGGAAAGAAATATTTAATAGGTAGGTAAAGGAAGAGGAGATGTAAAGAAGGAGGAAAGAGAAGTAAGATATCCATAGTTTGGTGAATTGAAATAGTTGGGAGTTGGAAGAGTCAAGCAAATAAAGAGCAGCAGAGAGATCTAGTAAGTTTGTTAAATCGAGGTCTGCAAAATCGAGGGTTTACTATAATTTGAAAATAACCTTATAGCCAACATTTTACAACAAATCTAAAACTTCATTTATTGCTGTATACATAAGATTTTTAATCAAGATTGTTTTAAGAATTTAGTCCTTACAAAAGAAACAGTAAGTGACCTTGATTTACATAATTATGTTGTTTTTCACCATATTCATTCTACCTGACTTTTTATATGTAGTTCATTTTCTATTTTATATTTCATTAAAGCAATTATTTTCAGTTACACTGTAGAGTCACAAAAAATTACAAGTTTTGATAAAACTTCCCCTTCAAGGTAGCCTATGAGAATATTTTGAGGGTTTAGAAAAAAATATATATTATAATGACAAATCTTCTAACATTAATGATTTTAATTAAGTATATATTTTAAATTGAAAATTTTTAAATTGGTTTAGAGTAAATTACATTCAAACAAAATAGCACAGAGTTTAGTACTCAAAAATTTATGTAATCTCAAAAATTTTAAGTGGTGAAAATAATTTGCTATCTATACACAACTTAGGTTTATTGGACAAAATTTCCTGTCAGTATATCATATCTTTCTGCACATGTCTGAAAATGACTGCAAAAGCACAGCAAGTATTGATTTTGGAATACAAATAATTTTTAGTGAGTAGGTGAATTTGCAAATTTTGAAACTATGAATATGAAGATCAACTGAATGTAAAATTATCATGGATAGTATATCTTTAATCCTGACCCTTTCTCTTTTGTTTTTGTATCTTTGTATCCCTGGGTTGTTTGTAATTTCAGATGAACAGACTATTTGCAGGGGTTCAGAGGTTAATTGCATTTTGAATTCAGGGTACTTTGTTTAAACATCTCACTTAATTCTGAGCTCAAATGCTGTCGTCTTTGCTTTAGTTGCAAACAGTACTTAATCCAATTCTTATTTTAAGTGGTTATTGTTAGTTACTTGGATTACTTGGAAGGATCAAACAAAGCACTGAATAGCTATTACTTGGTTAATTAAATGAGTAATCAACAAGTTATTTAAACACTGTGTCATTTCTTAGCTTTTGGCTCCTGAGGAATGTAATCTAGGCTCTTCCAATCTTTTTTTTTTTTTTTTTTTTTTAATATATATATTATTGAGTTTTTATAGAGAGGAAGAGAGAGGGATAGAGAGTTAGAAACATTGATGAGAGAGAATCATTGATCAGCTGCCTCCATCACACCCCCTACTAGGGATGTGCTCGCAACCAAGGTACATGACCTTGACTGGAATCGAGCCCAGGACCCTTCAGACCACAGACCAATGCTCTATCCACTGAACCAAACTGGTTTTGGCGCTCTTCCAACCTTAATATCCTAGAGTTATAATTTATTTTTTCATAGTCCCTCCTCCCACTAATTTTGATTTCCAACCTAACTCCCATTTCTATTTACTGATGGCAAAAACTTAATCTTAGTGTTTAGTAATTTTAAGTTTTATAATTAATTCAATTTGTGAGTCCTGCTTTCTCTTCTTCCACCTACTGGGCATGGCCTCTAATTTCTGATTTGATTAGGTGGCATTGGGGTCTGGTTACGCATGTGAACATAGTGGCATCTCTGAGATATGCGTCATTCTCTCTGGGTCTTAGCTAATACCACCCCTACATGCTGGCATCTGCTGAGAAGTCTGCATCCCTGTCTGTCCTCGGCTCTGTGGTCCACTGCTTTCTGCAGCAACACCCTCAGCATCACACCTTGAAGGTCCTTCAGAGCCACTGCTCCCCCAACCAGCCTCAACACTCTCCTGTGCAAATCTGGGCCAACAAAGGCTCTCTTAGGCTGTACATCCAAATTGATTGGTAGCAGTTGTCATTGTTTTAGAACTTTATCTTTTTTACTTTTTCTAAATTTATCTTGGAAAGATTATATTTTTTCTGCTCTTCTGGATTTAAATATATATATAGAATTCTAATACTATTTTTTTATTAGAGCATAATGACATAATCTTATTTTAGTTTTAGGTGTACAACATAATGATTTGATGAAATGATCACCACAATAAGTCTAGTTAAAATTTGTCCCCATACATTATAAAATGTTTTCTTGTGATCCACAGTCTCACCAATACTACTTTTAATATATTATAGGGACTAAGGAATAAACCAAAGAAAACAGCGCATGTGAAACCAGACCTCATAGATGTTGATCTTGTGAGAGGTGAGCCTTGGATAAATAAATGCTTAATGCAATTAGAAATTGACCTTGTAAAAACAATTCAAAATGGATTAGATTTATATGTTTGTAGAAGTAAAAGTAATGTGAGCTTAAATGAAGAAATGTAAGCAGAAATTTCATAAAAAGCAGAAAATGGAAGCATTTAAAACCATTGACTAGTTTTTCCTCCCGCTAGAGATCATTACAAGAAGTACATACAAAAGAAAAATATTTTGTGTTTGCTTAGCAGGCTATATATAATAAGGCTTGGTTATTAAAATTAAAGTGGTAGCATTCTAAAATTTTTATATTTAAACTAGAGGCCCAGTGCATGAATTTGTGCATGGGTGGGGTCCAGCTGTCTGCCCCCATTGAGATGGGCGGGGCCAATCAGGGTCAGGGCCGTGGGTGGTTGGCTGGATGGCCCTGTCCCTGGGTCGAACTCCTGGTTGAGGGGACAGTTTGCATATTAGTCTTTTATTATATAGGATTATAATTGACATACAAATATTGTATTAGTTTTCGGGGTTAAAGTGATAATTTAGAATTCCTAATTGGAACTGACATTTGAATATATTTATAAAATATGTAGGAGAAATTCTGTTATTTTAATTAAAAGTTGTTTTCAAAGTACCTGAGTTAATATGATAGCATGAAGAATGTTTTTTAAAGTGTGTTACCCAAAATTGGACATTTCTTATTCATAGCATAGTATAAAATAATACATGTTTTGCTTTTCTTCAAATGTTGAATTTTTTTCTCTAAGGAAATTAAAGACTAATAAGTGTACTCTGTTGTCTTATTTTACTTTTCTCAGGGTCTGCATTTGCTAAGGCAAAACCTGAAAGTCCTTGGACTTCTCTGACTAGAAAAGGGATTGTTCGAGTTGTATTTTTTCCCTTTTTCTTCCGGTGGTGGCTACAAGTAACATCAAAAGTCATCTTTTTCTGGCTTCTTGTCCTTTATCTTCTTCAAGGTACAATTAAATGGTAGAAATGCATTTTGCTTTTAACTTTCAGGATATTACATTAATAGGGTTACCAAAGGCTTTTAAAAAATCATGAGTTTAAAGATAAACATTTATTGTAATATTTCGCTTATTAGACACTGGTTTGATATTTTAAATGAGAAAACAAAGCAATTATTTTCCAATATAATTTTGTGAAAATTTGAATCTGTGGTTGGCTAAAGAAAAAAACAAGCTGAGAGGATTTTTAAAACTTAGAAAGTCTCTTCAAAATGCACCTCCCACATATACATACCACATAATCATTTTTTCCTGTACAAGTTCATTTGTCCTGCCTCTGAAACTGCCTCATTCTGTCCTTAAATTGTGCATACCATGCATTATTGTGATTGCTTTTCACAGATTCTTATTTAATTCTCACTACCACCCAGGGAAGTATAGGTTCTGTTATTATGCCTAGATTATAGACATGGGATCCTGAAGAACCTGAGGGCCCAAAGTCACACAATCACCAGATTTCAAGTTTAAACTAACTTAGAGCCACATGCTTAACAACCGTGTGGCATTGCCTCTCACCACAGCAGCATTCAAGTGTTCCTACAATGCATACTATCCAACACAAAAGCATTTGGAGTCTTAAGAAAGAAACCACTCACATTCCATCACTCTAACAAAGCAATGATTATAACTTGGTTGGCACTCTTTTGGTCTTTTTTAATGTCTTTTTTAAAACACGATTTTAATCCTAAATGATTATTTCAGCATGTTTTTACTCACAAACTCTAAGTAAAAGATAATATTTTTAAGTAAATGAAAATATAATAAAAACTACAGATTTTACTTAGGTGAAGCTGTTTCCTTAAGCCAGGGTACATCTTATGTACATAAAAGAGAGTGAACTATGAAGATTATGTGTTTGTTAAGAGTGTGTGTGTGTGTGTGTGTGTGTGTGTGTGTTTGATTTAAAAAATTGTACATATTCATTAACAGAAAATTTGGAAAATGTAGGTAAAACTGAAGAGAAAAGCCATCTATAATCTTGCCTTTAAGTTTACTTTGTAACACTTTTTATATATTATAGTTGAGATTATTCTGTGTAAATGATTGTATTTTTATTTCTGCCTTATGTCATAGCAAGTATCAGAGTTTTTATAAATATAATCTTAAGTTATTAGAAAATACCATATCAGTACCCTACAGTACTGGCATTTAAGCTTCTTTGCTGTCTTTTGTTATTATAATTTATGCTGAAGTGAACATACAGTTAGTGAAGTTTTTTTATACTTTGAATTACTTTCTTATGACAAATTCCTAGAATGCCTGCAATTAAATATAGTAACTTTTCCAAGGATTTTCATGTAGCTTGTCACTGCTTTCAAGAACTTGACCTTTGTTGTTGCTAAGTATAACACCATTACATTATATGCTAGTTCTTTTAAATGTACTTTTATCTTAATTTATTTATAGAGTTACTTTCTTGTGTTTGCTTTTCTCACAAAAGGATTTAAGGTCTTAGGCGACCCTGCTAACCGCCGCTATAGAGCCTAAGACCATCGGAAAACACAGATATTTACATTACGACTCATTAACAGGAGCAAAATTAAAGTTATGAAGTAGCAACGAAAATAATTTTATGGTTGGGGGTCACCACAACATGAGGAACTGTATTAGAGGGTCGAGGCAGTAGAAAGGCTGAGAACCGCTGGTGTAGAGGAATAAACCAAGGCTCAAAAAGGTTAAAACTGGATAAAGGACACATTAGATTTCATATTAAAAACAACATAAACTATATTTTTCCAAATTCCAGATTCTATTATAAAATAACTAGAAAACTTGAGTTAAATTTCAGGGTAATTCATAATGATGATTGACATTTTTAAAAATTTAAGTGTTTTTTGTTTTTTTTTTCCTTTTCAAAGAATCTTACTACTCAGGAGAATATAAAGCTCAAATTTGTTGTATGATAATTCTTAGACATTTTAAGTGGTAAAGTGTCATTTTAAGCTTAAACCTTAGTATGCTAGGCCAGGATTCTTTCAATTGCAGGTGACAGAAACCAAATGCAAACTAGCTTTTGTAAAAAGTGTTTTTTTGTCTTTACTGTTTATCATGAAAGTTTTCAGAAAAAAACCCTAAGAAATTAGATAGACCTGTGCAAAAACCAGAGTGACTATTTGCTTGGGACTATCTAACTATCAAAGTTGACTTGTGTTGTCCTTATGCTTTTATTAACATCTCTCATCTCACTCTCAAGAGAGTTCTGATTTAGATGATAATATACATAGTCACTTTAAACACCCACATGCCTATCTCTTTGATTAAATAATTAATATTTTGGCATATTTACTTTTTTTTTATCAAAGTAAATTATGTACATCATGGAATTTTACCCCTGAATGCATCAGTATGAATCTTTTCAAAATATTACACAATTACATTATAATTATTACACCTAACAAAATGAACAGAAATCTCCTAATACTCTAATTCTCCAATTGCCCCTAAAAGGAGTTAGGTACTCCCAGGCTCTTGACTCAAGTATCACTGGATCTAGAGGCTTAGATGATGTCTTCACTTTTTATGCAGTTCCCACTACTTTCTTAAACTGGTCTCATTCTTAGGAAGGCTTTTTTTAAGTGATGGCTGAGGTACCTCTGGCAATTCCTTATTTTCATAGTCCTTAGTGTTTTATCTAGGAGAAAGTCCTTCAGGCACCTCTGTTACTCCCTGTAAACGTTTCTGTGTGACCCTGCTTAAATCACATGCCCATCTTTTTATTAATTACTGTGCCCAAAGTTAAGACTGTAACAAATCTAGATTACAGGTCCCTGAGGTAGGAGAAATAAGAACATTCGAGTGACAGATGAAGGAAGCAAATTCTCAAAAGATAAAGAATTTGTGTCTACAAGGCTTAAGGGATGCTGAGCAAGCAAAAACAAGATTTCTTCTTCATGTGGAAATGTTTAGCAATAATGGGTGTTTAGTGGTTTCCCTGAAAGGTATGTCCAAGTAAATATATGTTATTAATTTTGAGTATATAGACCTCTATTGAAAAAAAGCTCGTTATGCCTTATCATAGACTTCCGTGTTTGTTAAACAAAGAAATAAGTGCACTCGAGGTTAGTATGGCTCTTTTTCCTCTCTGGAATTTTACCTGCAGTGGCTTGAGCTTCATATGCATCTAGTTGTCATTGTAGTTTTAAGGTGTGTATTTTAGAGACCACGTTGAGTGTTATCTTGTTCCAAGAGTTTATTACTGAACGGCAAGCATGGCTAGTCAGTCTGAAAGAACTTGTCTGGAGAAACATTTAAACTTATTTAAATTTAGAAAAATAATCTGGGAAGACGCAATGTTAAAACAAGAAGATTTTAAAGATTTTTAAAGAGTGACTATCAGATCTATAATGTGTTTTCTTTCCCTTTTTGTAGTTGCCGCAATAGTATTGTTCTGTTCCGCTTCCAGCCCACATAACATACCTCTGACAGAAGTGATTGGGCCGATATGGCTGATGCTGCTCCTGGGAACTGTGCACTGCCAGATTGTTTCAACAAGAACACCCAAGCCGCCTCTCAGTACAGGGGGGAAAAGAAGAAGGTACTGCCTATTTAAAAATGATCTTTTTTGTAGATTTCTATAATTTGAATCTATACTTATTCTTGGCTTCAATAAAATGCTGTCTTGTAAAGTTACTCTTTCAAATAAAGCAGTGAGCTTCAGAATCAGCTACCAAATATGATTTTGTTTTCTGTATTTGCTTCAAGGCACTTTTGAGACCACACACCTGTTTTGTTTTTATTTTATTTTCTAACATTAATTTCTAGGCACCTAATATCAATGTAGGGAATATATGTTAGTTGAAGTTGCTAATAATTCCTACTCTTTAATAAGGTTTATACTTATAAGATGCTTTGCCAAAAATAAGAACCAAGGAAAAATTTCAGTTGAATTTTATTTATTAAATGCTATTTGAGCCCTGGCTGGGCAGCTCAGTTGGTTGGAGCTTAAACTGTGCAATAAAGGTTGCAACTCTTGGTCAGAGCATGTGCAAGAGGCAAACAATTGATGTCTGTTTCTCTCTCTCTCTCTCTCTCTCTCTCTCTCTCTCTGTCTCTCAAAAATAAAATAATAAATCAATAAACGTCCTCGGGTGAGGATTATGAATGAATGAATGAATACATGCTATTTGAAACTATATAATATTGCCCTAGGTTAAGTAAACATAGCAGGTCTCACTGGCCAGTCTGTGCAATGGAGTTCTGTTTGAAGGGTCTTTTGGAGCAATTCCTCTTTTGAATATTGTTGCTAAGAGATTGTGACATATGCAGTTTGGAGTTGTTAAAATTTCAGCCCTTTTCATTTTGAAAAGATAAATAGATAAATAGTACATATAGTCAGTTAGATTATAATTCTTTTATTTAAATTTTCTTCCTCCCTGCAGGTAAGTGGCATTCAAATGGGAAGAAATACTTTTGTAAATACCTGTCTAATGTGACCTTACAACCTAATATTCATTGACTGGCAGTGTAAGCAAGGAGCAGTATCTTACCATTTATAGAAATTGGTTTTGAACATGTACTTTATGTTTGGGTAAATTTGAATTTTATTGTGCATTACAATTCCTGTGTTTATGTTTACAAAAATTTTGAACATACTACTGAGAATTGGTTGTTAAAATTTTAAAGTTACTTTCCAATCTTAATCTCTTCTAATAAAGGAAATTAAGAAAAGCAGCCCATTTGGAAGTGCACAGAGAAGGAGATGGTTCTAGTACCACAGATAATTCACAGGAGGCAACAGTTCAGAGCCACTGTGCAAGCACTTCATACAGCGTCGGCACTGTCTTCAGAGATCTTTGGCATGCTGCTTTCTTTTTATCAGGGTTTGTATCTATTCAAGATTTTATATGGCGTAGAGCACTGTCTCTTTTCTGGCACTTCAATCTCAGGTAATGAATATTAATGACTTTACATATGACAAATTACAGATTTTGTTTTGATCAATTATAATGCTATAGATAATGAAAAATAGAGACCATAAAGTTTATTTTGGGATATATGTAAACATTTCTAAATGAATATATACCATCAGAGTATATTTAGTTGACTATAAATTTTAATTTCTTTTGTGATTTCTCAAGTCTTACTTCTATTAAATTGGTTATTTTTATTAATACTATAGGTCAAATTGGCTTTACTAATATGTCATGAGGCTTGTATATTTTAAATTTAATCCCTGCCTCAGTTATCTAAAATTGTCTGATATAAAACATGTAGGCATTTGTATTTGAAAGAATAAGAAGTATACTATGGGATGGAATTCTATTTTTGTGTACTGGGCTTTTTTTTTTTTTTTTTTAATATATTTTATTGATTTTGTACAGAGAGGAAGGGAGAGAGATAGCAAGTTAGAAACATCGATGAGAGAGAGTCATCGATCAGCTGTCTCCTGCACACCCCCCACTGGGGATGTGCCCGCAACCAAGGTACATGCCCTTGACCGGAATCGAACCCGGGACCCTTCAGTCCCCAAGCCGACGCTCTATCCACTGAGCCAAACCGGTTTCGGCTGTACTGGGCTTTTGTATAGTTTGTACCACAATGAATGTTTACCAAATAAAAAAATGTGATTATAGAAAATTTCAAAAGTAAATTAAACCTAATTCAATATTGTATAATTATTTTGAATAATTAATTCAAAACACTTAAGGGTTATATTACTAGTGCACATATACACATAATAAAATTGAAAGGGGTTAAAAAGCTATGATCAAAATAGTATAACTGATAAAAGTTGCTAAACTAATAAATCAAGAAAAGAGATACTACAAATAACTAATTTGGTCACTTTCGTTAACTCCTTTGCTAACACTGGTTCATCAATATCTGATTGTGCTCTTATGATAAAGTTTATCATGCATTACATAATTAAGGAATTATATCCTGGGCATAATTTTTTAAAAATATATTTTATTGATTTTTTACAGAGAGGAAAGGAGAGAGAGAGAGAGCTAGAAACGTCGATGAGAGAGAAACATCGAGCAGCTGCCTCTTGCACACCCCCTACTGGGGACATGCCCGCAACCAACGTACATGTCCTTGACCGGAATTGAACCCGGGACCTTTCAGTCCTCAGATCGACGCTTTACCACTGAGCCAAACTGGTTTCGGCCTGGGCATATTTTCATTGATTGTAGTTTTGGGGGAAATTCTCCAAAATGCTAATAGTTTGCAATAACATTGCATGAAGTTGCTTCCTCCAGAGAAGATACAGGTTGGGTTTGGTTTTTTTTTTTTTTCTTTTTTTTTTTTTTTTTTTTTTTCTTTTTTTTTTTTTTGCATTAGAATACTTTTATTTATTTTTTTTCTTTTTATTATAGATATATATATATATATTTTTTTTATTTTACATATTTTATTGATTTTTTTTTGCCCCCCTCCTTCCCTCCCATGTATCCCCTCCCTCCCCAGAGTTTTATGTCCATTGGTTGTACTTATATGCAGGTATACAAGTCCTTGGGTTGATTTATTGTCTCCCCCAGACCCTCCTCCCCTCCCCGTTGTAATTTGACAATCTGCTTGTTGCTTTACTGTCTCTATATCTATCTTTTGGTTCATCAGTTTATAATGATCTTTATTATCCACAAATGAGTGGGGTCATGTGGTGTTTCTCTTTCATTGATTGGCTTATTTCACTCAGCATGATGTTCTCCAATTCCATCCAGGTTGCTGCAAATGATGAGAATTCCTTCTTTTTTATGGCAGCATAGTATTCCATTGTGTAGATGTACCAAAGTTTTTGGATCCAATCATCAGCTGACGGGCACCTCGGCTGTTTCCAGATTCTGGCTATTGTAGATTGTGCTGCTATGAACATAGGGGTGCATATATCCTTTCTGATTGGTGTTTCTAGTTTCTTGGGATATATTCCAAGAAGTGGGATTACTGGGTCAAATGGGAGTTCCATTCTCAGTTTTTTGAGGAAACTCCACACTGTTCTCCACAGTGGTTGCACCAGTCTGCATTCCCACCAGCAGTGCACGAGGGTTCCTTTTTCTCCGCAACCTCGCCAACACTTGTCGTTTGTTGATTTGTTGATGTTGGCCATTCTGACAGGTGTGAGATGGTACCGCATTGTTGTTTTGATTTGCATCTCTCGGATAATTAGTGACTTTGAGCATGTTTTCATGTGCCTTTTGGCCTTCTTTCTGTCTTCTTTTGTAAATATTCTATTTAGGTCCATTGCCCATTTTTTAATTGGATCATTCATCTTCCTTTTATTTAGTTGTATCAGCTGTCTGTAGATGTTGGAGATTAAACCTTTATCTGTGGTATTATTTGCAAATATATTCTCCCATACCGTGGGCTTTCTTGTTGTTTTGTTGATGGTTTCTTTTGCTGTAAAAAAACTTTTTATTTTGATGTAGTCCCATTTGTTTATTTTCTCTTTAGCTTCCATTGCCCTAGGGGCAGTATCAGTGAAGAAGTTCTTTTGGCATACGTCTGAGATTTTGCTGCCTGCGGATGCTTCTAGTATTTTTATGGTTTCCCGTCTGATGTTTAAGTCCTGTATCCATTTTGAGTTTATTTTTGTGTATGGTGTAAGTTGGTGATCTAGTTTCATTCTTTTGCATGTGTCTACCCAATTTTCCCAACACCATTTATTGAAGAAACTGTCTTGACTCCATTGTATATTCGTGCCTCCTTTGTCAAATATTAATTGAGCATAGTGATTTGGGTTGATATCTGGGTTCTCGATTCTATTCCATTGATCTATATGTCTGTTCTTGTGCCAGTACCAGGCTGTTTTGAGAACAGTGGCTTTGTAATACAGTTTGAAGTCTGGTATTGAGATCCCTCCTACTTTACCCTTCTTTCTCAGGATTGCTGTGGCTATTCGGGGTCTTTTATTGTTCCAAATGAACTTTTGGAGAGTTCTTTCTAGGTCGGTGAAATATGCCGTTGGTATTTTAATGGGGAGTGCATTGAACCTATAGATTGCTTTAGGAAGTATGGACATTTTGATGATGTTGATTCTACCGATCCATGAACATGGTATATTCTTCCATCTCTTTACATCTTCCTCTATCTCTTTTTTCAGTGTCATGTAGTTTTCTGCATATAGGTCCTTTACTTCCTTAGTTAAATTTATTCCTAGGTACCTTAATTTTTTTGGTGCGATGGTAAATGGAATTGCTTTTTTAATCTCTATTTCTATAGTTTCGCTGTTGGTGTATAGAAATGCCGTGGATTTCTTGGCATTAATTTTGTATCCTGCTACATTGCCAAATTCATTTATTAAGTCAATTAGTTTTTTAATGGAGTCTTTTGGGTTTTTTATGTACAGTATCATGTCATCTGCAAATAAGGATAACTTTACTTCTTCTTTTCCAATTTGGATGCCTTTTATTTCCTCCTCTTGTCTAATTGCAATGGCTAGTACTTCCAGTACTATGTCAAACAGGAGTGGCGAGAGTGGGCATCCCTGTCTTGTTCCTGTTCTTAGAGGGAATGGTTTTAGTTTTTGCCCATTGAGTATAATGTTGGCTGTGGGTTTATCATATATAGCTTTTATTATGTTGAGGTATGATCCTTGTACTCCCACCTTGTTAAGAGTTTTTATCAGGAAAGGGTGTTGGATTTTATCAAATGCTTTTTCTGCATCAATTGATATGACTATATGATTTTTATCTTTCAGTTTGTTTATGTGATGTATCACGTTTATTGATTTGCGGATATTGTACCATCCTTGCATTCCTGGAATAAATCCTACTTGGTCATGGTGTATGATCTTTGTGATGTTCATCTGGAGTCTATTTGCTAGAATTTTGTTGAGGATTTTGGCATCTATGTTCATGAGGGATATTGGCCTGTAATTCTCTTTCATTGAGTTGTCTTTATCTGGTTTTGGTATTAGGGTGATGCTGGCTTCATAGAAGGAGTTTGGAAGTGTTCCTTCCTCTTGGATTTTTTGGAATAGTCTGAGGAGGAAAGGTTTTAGTTCTTCCTTGAATGTTTGGTAAAACTCTCCTGTGAAGCCATCAGGCCCTGGGCTTTTGTTTGCTGGAAGCTTTTTGATGACTGTTTCAATTTCTTCCCACGTCACTGGTCTATTAAGATTTTTAGATTCTTCCTGATTGAGTTTTGGAAGGTTGTATTTTTCTAGGAATATGTCCATTTCGTCCAGGTTGTTCAGTTTGTTGGAATAGAGTTGTTCGTAGTATTTTGTAACAATCTGTTGTATTTCGGTGGGGTCTGTTGTTATTTCACCTCTTTCATTTCTGATTTTGTTTATTTGGGTCCTCTCTCTTTGTTTCTTGGTTAGCCTGGCTAGAGGTTCATCTATCTTGTTTATTCTTTCAAAAAACCAGCTCTTGGTTTTGTTGATCTTATGTATTGTTTTTTTGGTCTCTATGTCGTTTATCTGTGCTCTGATTTTTGTTATTTCCTTCCTTCTGCTTACACTGGGCTTTTCTTGTTGCTCCTTTTCTAATTCTTTGAGTTGTAGAGTTAGATCATCTGTTACCCTTTTTTCTAGTTTTTTGCAATAGGCTTGTAAGGATATGAACTTCCCTCTCAAAACTGCTTTTGCTGTGTCCCATAGATTTTGGATTGTTGTGTTTTCATTGTCATTTGTTGCCAGGATGTTTTTAATTTCTTCCTTGATTTCTCTGGTAACCCAGTCCTTGTTTAATAGCATGCTGTTTAATCTCCATGTGTTTGATTTCTTTGGATTATTTTTATTGTAGTTAATTTCCAGTTTTATGCCATTATGGTCTGAGAAGATACTTGATACGATTTCTATCTTCTTAAATTTGAAGAGACTTTGCCTATGTCCCAAAATGTGGTCTATCTTTGAGAATGTCCCATGTGCACTTGAGAA